TTACAACAACAGAATATTATATTTATTTATGATGATTAGCTGCAGTGATTGCTTATTAATATTTCATACTTTTTCAAGGCCTTTAATTGTACTTACCTTAATTTTTAACATCGTTATTTTTTGTCACTTTACATTGTCTACCATCACATACAATTATATCTACTATCTGGTGTAAAAAATTGGTCTGGCATTGTGAGAAATATGACACGCTTATTGTCTTCAAATTCTCATTCGTTGGATGATATAAAGTCAAAGCTGAATATTCTTTTGTGCTTCTCCAGTTTTATTCTAGATTAACGGCACATTTAGATCTCATCAGTGGTTATACACTGGAAGTAAACGATTTTTAATTGCCACCTCTAGTGACTGAGTCAAGAACACCAACCGACTTTTATATAACAGCTAATAGTGCTTATAAATAGCAACGCGTTTAGTAAATTTATTAAATTATAATAAAATTATGAGCAATACCTGACTGAGGCTAGTGAAATTTATGATAATGTAATATATGAATCTTATAAGCTAAATTTATTTCTTGTAAATGTTAAATATTTTATGACAGATGCTTGGTATGTATATTTTTTTTTAGAAATGAAATTAGAATTAATTCATGATCAGTTTAAATGAAATTATCAATTAAAATAGGCATTCAGTGTTGACGATGAGTCTAATGGATGATATGGAAGGAAGATAAAGTTGATGTAAAGATGACGCAAAGGAGGTGAGAATTGAGGAAAAGATAGGAAAGGAAGTTGGTGAGGATGTAAGTGCGACATATGAAACCAATGAGGAGTAGAACCGGTTGTCATGTTGCCGCGAATGGAGGTATTTGGTGCGAGTGACCCTTTCACGGAAATGCGTTGGTCGCGGGGAATATTGCGGGGTCGTGCGGCGTTAATTTACATAAGATAACACAGTGGATGTGCAACAAGGTACACATGGAGGGCTGGAGATGTTCGGGGACCACCGTATCGTAAAGATCGAACGCGCCGATATTGCACACAGAGCTGCATGCAGGTCAGCAGGAACAAGAGAGGGAAGAAGTAGAGAAGAAAAAGGATAAAAGGCGAATGTCCGCCTCTGGTGAAGAAGCATCTTTGAGATTTTTTTCTGCGTTTACTGCGGTGAGAGCGACATTGCAGACCCGATGAAACTGTAAAGTACCTTGTCCAAGACTTCCTTGTGGGCAGCTCGAGTCAGCCCGCAAGCGTTCGTTATATAGACGAGGATTCGTGACGACTAGACTCTTCCATTCTCTCGAGTACATGAACTCCATGGTAGTAAAGTAATTTCTGGGTAATAAAGAAGATAAAGCCAACTTAGGTTTTTTTTTTCAATTTTAATTTCATGACCCTGCCAAATACAATAATAATAATAATAATAATATTAATCGCATTTTATAATAATAATAATATTCATAGTAGCAATAATAATGATTGAAATAATAGAAATAATCATGAAAAATAATCATTATAATAGTATACATATATCATAGCAATAATGATAATAATAATAATAAACAAATATAATGATGACAATGGGTAATATAATAATATCTAAAATATGTAACCATTATCTTGATAATGTTGAACAGCTACCGGTGCGTTATTGTGCAACATGATGAATGTGACGTATATACACATAGATAAACGCTTCCTTTTTATCACGTGAATAAAATATCCTTCCGATATTTCATTCATCGTTCATACAAGATATATTATTCGTACATAATTATTTTTTTTTTTTATATTAATATTAATATTAAATAATTATCATTATACGACATTGTCGAACACATACGATTCTCTTATAATAATGCCTTTTTGGGCTTTTTTATTTTTTTACTTTTGTATATAAATATATATATATATATATATAGATATATATAATTTCGTGCATATTATATATAATTCACTATACTCGGCCATTTGAACCCTTTGCTTGGCAAGGATTAACTACTTTTGTCATTCGCAATAAATAAATAATTCAAAAAATGAATAGGAAATTGTTTTTGAGATGATAACAAAATTATTATATAGTTACAACCGCAATTTACAGTATTATATATATATATTTATGAATTAATTATTATTATCAATTAATTAATATATAAACCTCCCTTTAACTTGTGGCGCGCGTTATCATTAATTAAATGATCAAGCAAACCACTCATAGTCTCAAAGTGTAAAAAGTTGATACATTTATTTTATATAATATATTTAAAGTAATGCCTTTGTTTATGCAATGAGTTTCAATGTATTTTTTTAGTTTTTTTTTTTTTTTTAAATTATTTATATATTACTATTGCACTACGTTATTGTGCTTAACATTTACATTAGATTAATCTTATGAATAAATTGCAGCGCGCTGATTCAAAATCGCAAATGTATATTGCATTTAGATAAAAAAACAGAGACTAAATATTATAATTCGCAATTTATTCGATAATACACACTTGAATATACAAATAGATTATTGTCAATGTATTGACGTATTTTAAACAAATAATAAACAAATTAAATAATTATTAATAAAATAACTCGCAATAATTTGTTTTTTTTTTTCTTTTTTTAAATTTTTTTATCACAATCCATCAAAACGCATGACAGAGACTTATAGAATCATGCTTTTTACATAAATCAATTGCGAGGAGCAAAAAATTGTTCAGTACATTTGAGTAGAAAAAATTGGATCCTCATGAGCATTTAAATCTTGCCTTAAACCACGCGCCGCACAGTATTAAATTCGTGCAAGATCCAAGAGATAATTACTGGCCCCCATTGGTTATCAAAGAGAAACTTACGTATTATATAATAATTGTGGCTAGAACGTACTCGTTTTAGCGCAATTTTTAAGTTTTAAAAAATCATTTTAATTTATTAACTATTTACATTATATTATTCTCTTAAAGCTGCTTATCATATATCTAATGTACTTTATTTACCACAATTTTTCTATACCCATGCCCGATGATATTCATGATTGGTATGTTAGATAAAGCATTGGAAAAAAGCGAAAGATGTACATATGTGTCTACAATAACGTTTGTTATTTAAATGATTCCATTTATGTTTTATTTTCACAAGGTCTAGCAATCAATCCGTGATATTTATAGCGAATATAAACTGAACGAAAATTGCTTCGAGTGCATGAGCCGTAGATTATTTAATAGAAAGGAAATAGTGTAGTATAGAAAAAATGGAAATAGATATAGAGAAATTTAAGCGCAAATGGGAGAGAGCCGGCAGAGGTGTTTTATGACCAGTATATATAAATGAAACTACACGAAGATGCCATTTCTCTTCTAGTTTTGATCCAAGTGGCTTTATGATTTTTATCCCGAAATGAAAAAAGCAATTATTGGTTTTCTTGTTATTTTTTTGCTATCAGTAGTTATTTTATTTATATATATCTATATATTATATAGCATTTTCGAATTGACTGTATTACCTCGATTAGTTGGGAGGCAGTTAACGTCTCTTAAGGCACTTGAAATGCTAATTTTCATAGGTGGGACTTTAAAGAAAACCGTCTACATTCAGAGTATTCCTTTAAACACTTCCTACCAATTCATAATTTTCCATTTACGGATTGTTGAATGAGACATTATCGAATGAGTAATAAGCTTCCATTTATTTCACCTTTCATTACGTGAACTTTTCTTTCTCTAATAATCATCTATATTTTCTATTTTTACAGGCATTTCCAAAGTATCAAAATATTGGAAAATTAGCAAAAAACGTAATCAATAAGATAATCATTTTTTTGTCTAAACATGTTAAAGTGGAATGTCATCATTTTGTTATTCTTTTTTCTTTTTGGACGGAATCGAAAGTTTTTTCAAGTAAAAAAGGATCAATTTTCAAATTTAGTGGTCCTCTAGGAGTGAATTTATCAACAAAATCTAACCTGACGGTTTGAGTTAGTGAAAAGGAAAGCTTTCGTTGATAATGATGACAATGATCGATAATGTTGTCAGTGTAAGTGATCAACGTGCGTTTCTCATCTCATATCACTAAGATATCTCTGATTACCAGTACTTTGTGAGGGCAAGGATAGCGTCTGGCATAGAATTTTGCAGGAATGATGACTGATGTGCAAGGTGCAAGCATTAAAATTTGCATCAAGAGTTAAGGCACTATATAGCATTGGACATAAAATCTAGCAACGCATCGACACTTTCATGTCATAGCGATTAAAGAAGGCACTATTATCTAACCAAGTATAACAGCGTAACAATGATTAATTCGTTTAAATTATTGTATGTACAAGTTTACACGATAAACTGGCTCTAATATATACTGGCATATCGTTACATTTCATTTTTTTTTTTTTTAAATACCCATTACTTTTATATGTTTAAATATATATATATATATATTCAAGTGGTAGTATTTGTGCTTTTTTATTCCAACAAAATAATAATTCGCGTTTTATTTTGTTGATTTATCCGGAGTTTTTTTTTCTTTTTTAATTTGTTTCAACAAGAGCATCTATTGTATTGTTTTTACACAAATTTTTTTTTATATCAAAATCTATTGAATTTTTTATGAATGACATGTAAATTATTCTACTTATGTTTTAGTGCTATAAATCTATTGAAATGATTATTGTGGGCAATTATTGTATTATTGTTGCAGTGTACTCAGCTAATTATTGACCTCATTCATGTACACAATTACTTAATCGATAAATCGTTAACAAGTTAAATATGAATTGAATTTTATTTTGTTTAGAGACGTATTTTTGACGTCTGTAATTGAATAAATAAATATAAAATGTACATGAAAGAGTATACTTTTTTTCGTCAATATATAAATTATTTATGTGATACAAGATTAGCCACAAAAGTGAAAATCTACTGTACAGCAGTATAACTGCAATAAAACAACGCTTAGATGGTGCAGAATAATTTATGATCTACGGCAGTGCTGAAGTAATTTTGGTATTCAAATATTTTTCACCATTATCAAGTAATTAATTTATCTAATTACAACAAAAAATTGACAATGCTAATTTTATGTTTGTTATACAATTATTTATAATATTTATTCTTTTACAGCCTTATCTGCCAGTATATTATCCACTTTGGCACCTTTACGTAAACGTCCATGACAACAAAAATAGGTACTTAGTTATATTTAATTTAATTATATCAATTAATTGAATATTATTGCTTGTAATTTTTTATTCATCTAATATTATTTTTCTCACATAATTAAAAAATAATATTTCTCATTACTTAATCTTGAATCAAATAATTGATTCTTATAAATAGATAGATGCAATTGTCGTTATTTAGAGTAGTTTTTTTTTTAAATTTTATTTAAAAAAAAAACTCAACAATGATTGTCCTTTTTCTAAACGCGAAATTCTTTTTGTGCACCATTTTTGATTTAATAAATTATTATTCAATACCGATTATTCAATAATCAATCAATATTAATCATTTTTCAATAATTATACACAATCACGATTGTATTTATTTAACTGAGCATGCTAAGTCCCAAGCTCCATTAACGGAGTTGTCATTTTCTCTTTAATAACATTTTCATTTAATAAACTACATAAACTAATTTAACTTTCTTATTATAATATTTTTACTGGCTCCATTATATCATGATATTACATTAACAACATTGCTCTAGACTAGTTGAGCTGGCCTTATTAAATTGTAATTAAATAACCAAAGAGTTTATGCTAATTCAATAATATTATTCTCGATGCTGAGTTTCTCCCAAAGCTCATGTTGATACTATTTATATTTTTATAAGACCATATGTATTATTATTATAATTATTTGTAATATTTACTATATCTATAAAATGTTTTTTCTATTCGTCGCCCTGTTCCCAGGCCACGTGACGCGCACCTCGAAGGAAAGGGTGGTCTTCAGGTCCCGAATGTAATCGTCAACTCATCTAGGATAGCTCTGATGAACTCAATCGTCAGTGTCTCTTCATGTGCAACGACAAATGATCACTTCGAGAGAAGGATCGTTGACAAAGATGGCACTTGAAAGGCTTTTGTCCTGTATGCTTACGATAGTGTCTTGTAAGTTCATCTGAGCGAGCAAATTTCCATGTGCATCCTTCCCACGTACACTGATATGGCTTTTCACCTGAAAGCAAATAAAAGTGAACATTTATCAATCAAATGGTATAATAAATAAAATGATTGACTTAAATATAGTTGAGAAAGAAGGAAAAAAGATCAATTGATCAGGTGATATAAAGGGAGACACTGAGGATAAAACTAGTCGTGGCTGGTGATGATAAAATCTATAAAAGAAGAGTTCGTTGTCTTGACGTCTTTTTGCACCCAATTATTGGCTCGTCAATCGGTCCTATTTGGAGGAATTGTGGACACAGAGCGTCTACATAACGTCGTCAAGTGTCATGTGGACGTATACCCGTTCAACTTGATGCTAAGGTACATCAATCCTTAAGGTGGTTGGTGACAGCTGTCGCTTGGTCATGGATCTCACCACTGTCTATCACACTCTTCTATTGTATACGTCTGCTTCTGTGCTTTATAGTCTTAGGTTATTTTAAATCGTGATGTTGAGTCAAATGGTCACTAAATTGCGATGATGCAATCGCTCTCGTCGCATTTACTCAGGAGACGAAGACAAAGTATCAACGTTAGAAATCGTACGGTCGTCTACCTGATCCTATTACCCACTCGATTGACTGAGAGAGAGAAGAGTAAGGTGAAGGATATAATGGAGGGATCTAAGGATTGGAGTTGTTCGTTACTGGATAAATCCTACGGACAAGTGCCTCATCTATATTGAAGAGCTCGCGTGTTTGATCAGCCAGGGATCGAGCAAAGATTAATTCGAGCGTGTGAGCACATTTATGTAGTATTGCATTTTAAAATTATGATTACAGCCAGGGAATTCCGCGTTACAGATAATTGTATTAACCACTTTCATTCAACTGATACTACAGAATTTTTCATTATTTCAATTACTTTTTCAGACTAGGAATCGATCATCATAAATGCTGAGATTCGTGGCCAGTTCGTCGACATTGTATTACGTAAGAGGTCCGGTAATCGCAAACTAATGACGTCCATAAGAAATGCACAGGCGAGGAGTTACGTAATTGTGAGTAATTAGTCCATTTACGAGCTCGGGGCTAAGACAAGATGCATATACAACCAATACATTGGAGCTTACTTTACCTATATCTATAGACTTGGACCATGGGAGTCAGATATTGCTGTAGTAACGGAGCATTAATATCACCGTTATTAATGCATTTTCATCCAATTTTTCAACCGGCCAAGCGTTGCGTTTATTGCGCCATAGATTAACGCCATGAGTTACTCCAATGCTCTCATTAGTCTCGAGGATAATATATATACATATATACACTTTGCTTCCTTTGTAAGTTTTAGGTTTTCTAATTATTACGTTATTATAATATTATATCAAGTTCAACTATCATATTTAAATTAAGGTGATGTAGGTCACCGATAGAATGTTTATTAATAAGTTAGATTATTTCAACATCAAGATAAAAAAAAATTTTAAATTGATATTATTTTTTTTTTTGTCATGATTAATTGAATAAAAATACTTGAATTTTTTAACAATTAATTCTTTTTTAAAATATAAAAAATTGTCTAGAAATTATTATCATATTAAATAAATGACTTCATTTACTTTAGAGATAATGTTAAAAGGGTAATAAAATGACGATAAATTATATCTGGGAAAATTAAACTAATCATTTAAATGTAATTGTTGAGAAATGAAGTCATAAAAAGCATTTCTTGCTGTAATTCTTTCTATTCACTATAATAAGTATACTTGATAGAGTAATTATAATATATAATTATTATATCTATAGCATCAATGTTGCTTTCAGTTTTAATTGTATCACATTTATAGTACCAATTAATAAAATTTTTCTTAACGATGTGATAAAAGAACACCTGAAGGAAAAAATTCGAATGTTACAGAGTAAGATTCATGCTAACCGCGTGATCATTACATATTCGAATAAAGTTTACGAGTATGTAGTTATACTTTTGCTGATATTTGCCCCTGAGGCGTTTATGAGTCCAGGACTGTTCCGTGATGAGATGTAGCTCGTTCATTCAATGGGTTTAATTAACGTCTTAAGTAGAAGTTGATTATAGAGCTTTCTGAGCTGCGTGCTCGCGATAAATATGACGAGAAGAACCACGCCCCAGATTTGTTACAGTATCTTTCATGTTATGCCCAAGTATCATCCCTGATTTTTCTCGATCTCTCGTCTATTTCTTTTATCTTTAAGCGATGAGAGAGCACGCGTGAGATCATCTCATCTTCCGATACATCGGGTCAGCCGGGAAACCGTTGACCCCACGAGGAATGTAGTTGTAGCCTCCGGCAGTAACGCGCATTTACGCGGGGGTGCATTGTTGATGTCAGAACATCCCGTCTAGTCGCGTCCCACGGCGGCAGTTGGAAAGATAATTCAGGTTAATTCATATGTAAAACCCCATCCTGCTGTCTATCAAGCGTCACGCTACTTCCCAACCCTTTTTTATTTATTAATTCACCAATGGCATGGCGTATAATGTATGTAGGTTTGAATAAGCAAAAATTTCAACTGCAGTTATAGAAAGAAAAAGACGAGAATTATGTTAACACGTGGCTAAGAGTGTAAACTTGGTATAGAAAATAATTAAGAACGATTGTAAATTGATATGGGATGTTTTACTGGAAACTGTGTGGAAGATAATGGCTATCTCTTGACTAATGGATCCCATGGGTGTCGTTGGAAAGTCTATAGTGTGGGGTAATGATGTTTTATCGATCCGCAGATCGTCGTAACTTGGGGATAGAGGTAGAAGAGGTAAATCTACTAGCACTTGGAACCACATAGCGGCTTGGTTATTCTCAGACGCGTATAACCCACGATATAGGATAATGTCCGGTGTCGAGAGCGTGTACGGAGGAGTATAAGCGACCTCTAACAGTATATTACTAGTCAACTATCGCTTACTATCCTGAGGTAATGTTTTTCCTCCCTCGTTTTGGTATATAAGACCCTCCCGCTTGCTATTTACTAGCTGAATATCATAAGAAATTTATTTATTTTATGCTGTTTATCCCACAGATGTTTCAAATCATACACAATTACTGAACATTATGGACTTTTATTTCTTTGTACTTGAAGAATAATAATAAATGATGTGTTACAATTCTTCAGGAAATTCCCATTTCCCTTAATGTTCCTTCATCATCATATGAATTTTAATTGCAAAGCAGTTTTATTCGCACCTCTGACGTCTTCACTCACTGACAAGCCGCTTGATTTATGGCAGTCGGTATGATTCATCCAATTACGCATTTCTCGCGGCGTTTAAACTATCTTACACGCGCCTAACCATGATGTTCTTGCTGGAGGAAAAGAACTAGGGTTGATGTATTTGGTGGTAGCGCCACCATTATTATATATCTCTTTAGTTTAATGAGAATGTATGAGAGAATATTTCTATTATTTTATTACTGTAAAAATATCTAAATCTACATCATAGTATGGCAATCATTACGTGTCGTTTTAATGCAAAAAGTCAATTTCCTGCGTTATTTACAAGCTATGCGTATGCCACTAAATTAAATAGAAGGAAGGCAAGGCCACGAGGCCATACAATCATCTAGCGCGAGCCTATTGTCTTGCTTAATTATCTCCTTTTTTGGATAAATATCTACATTTCTTTTATTCTTGCTTTATTTTAACTTCAGGTGATGAGAATGAAAGGTAAAAACAACAACAACGCTACTAATCAACTCACCAGTATGTGTTCTTTTGTGTGCTTTTAGGTGGGAGCTCTTGGTATACACTTTGTCGCATCCTGCTACGTCACATCTGTGGACTTTACGCCGTTTTAAGGCATCACCACAATCACCATCAACATTCAGACTACCACCATGTCCAGCTACTCCACTATTTCCTCGGCTGCTCAATCCAATCCCGGGTGTAAGCGCCGGTCGTTTGTGAAAAACACTGAAAGCAAAATGAACAAAAATTTACTATCACATAATTTGGTATAGGATAGGTTGGACTTTTTGTTGGGTAAGTAAGATCTTTAAGCTTACAAAGAAATAGATGACAATGAATGATCAAGATCGATGATGGAAACATATAAAGTTGGCAGTAAACCTTTTTATAATTGATCTTGCTTTGGAGATATAGAGTGAGTTACAAAGAATGCTTTTTTGCATGAACCTTCATCATGACATAAAGATTATGACGAGGACCAGACAGGGATAGAAATATCTGATGAGACGAATGATTATTAAAGAAGAATCTTGATAGCTTTGGGAATTTATATGCAAGATGGTACGAAACATCTTCATCTTTGGCTCCATTAAATATTGTATGACTAACATTGATGAAAAAATTTGTACAGTGTAATATCCTTTCATGGTATAATGACAGCAATTGTCTAGGCTATACATCAACAAATTATTTTAATAATATATCTATCTATCGATCGTTATTCTCACCAGGAGAATTGAAAAATTATGTTCGTGACTAATATAATACTTGGAGTATATCGACTTCAATCAATTTAACATGTATGCTGCAGGTAAATTTTGAATAGGACATCATTAGCTTCGCCATGAAGACATGAGGTGTGGTTTGATACTGAAGACCTCCCGCGAACTGGTCTCGCTTCGACACCTCCTTCAAGTTACTTGCAAGACTCGTTCGTCCTCTCCGCTTACTTTAGATAGAGTGCGAGACTCTGTCAAGCGTAACAATCGTGGGTGCTCTTGGTAATTGATAAGGGCCAATGGTCTCACCTCATAGCACAAGTTCTTGGAAGTCTAGTTTAACGGAAGTAAATGATCAAGTGTTAGATGAGTTGATTTATAATATATTATATATATATTACCATAAGAAAAAATTGTTCCAGGCTTCAATTATCCAACAATCTTTTTTCCATCAATTTCCAACAACACTATGTAGATTAAATGAGCTGATTGTTGCCAATATATTTTTATTAAAATTGATTTAACTGTTGATGTTTAATATTTCAAAAATTTTTAATTTATCATCAACTATTGAATTATGAAGGAAAGATATGATCGATCTTCTCGTTTGTTTAATTCTCTCAGAATTTTAAGTCAAAGTTCATTCACTGGTTATGCTTAATGTTATTAATTGTCCATTTCCTTGACATTTTAATCACTCGATTAATCTAACATATCCATAAGTTATAAAGAAATATGGATAAGATACGATTAAGACAGTTCTCCCCTAAATCGCAACTAATTTTTTTCTGTTATCTCTGAAAAGACTTCCTGTAATAGTAAAGAGAATATATTTTAAATGTAAAAGAGTCAGCATGGCAATGTGACTGCAATAAGTTTCCTGAATAAGTAGTATTTCATCGAAACGGAAAAGCGATGCAGCGGCGCGTCGACTAGTCATAAACTACATTGGGAGACAGTGCTTAAGCTTGAACTAGCATAAATCCGTTTCTCCAACAGAGTCTGGGAGACACTTGACGTCGTACTTGGGTTTGAACGCGTAGACAGTCTATGTACTTGTGTTCCTTATAGATCTGTACTTGCAGCAGCCAACGAGTAACCGGCAATATCGAGATCAGGAGTTGGTTTCCCACCGTGAAATGACTCCCAGCGGAATCGAGCGAGTTCTCCCTCTGGACAACCGCGTGCGACTCGATTGGACACACGTCGTGATGAAATGCTGCCTTGGTCGTTTCGCCTAACGACTTGCTTAAACTTCAACTTATTTCACAATTCCTAGGGTCCTTCACTTTCATTATTTACTTCAAATATTTTTGATTGATGATCAAACGACTTTATGATAAAAACTCTATTTTTCTATCATCATATATCTTGTGCTATTTAGCCTGGCTAAAAGAGAGAATTGTGACTGGTATGGATACATAAAGAAGGGAGCTATACTTGAGACATGTTGCCTTTTCTCGTAAAGTATACTTTACTTTGCAAATATGAGAATTCACCGCAGGAGGGTGTTTGCTAGGTAAATATGCGGGTGAATGTTCACACAAGCAATAGATGGTGCTAGGGATTTACGAGTCTTGATGCTGTAACTATTGCCGATGAATGTGTACACATATCAATGACACCTGACCATTTTTTCCCCAGATTTAGGTATAAACTGTTCTCCTCTTTTGTCACATTCTAATAATTTTGAGTTAATTTAACAGCTTCCTGCTTTAAAGGGGTCGAGTTTCTCTTTTTAATGAAAAAAATACAAGCTAAACTTTCTCGGAACTGCAACATGTTCAAGAAATATTTGATTGTTTTTTTCTCCTGGAGGTTCTTTATAGAGACAGACCAGCATGTAGTGTATGGAGTGGAGGATTTGGAGAAATGTATTTATCGGGCGTGGTTTTGAATAATCGACAAGTAAACATCGATGTGTACTTACAGAGAGGCCTCTTTTATCCTTTGGAGAGCAAGAAGGGCCGCAGATGAGGATACGAAAACTGGATCAGGTGGTTCCATGCTACAGACTGATACTTCTCTTTCCCTTACACGATCCCGTTGTCTTTCGCGATCTCGTTCTCTCTCTCGTTCTTTATTTCGTGGTTCTCTTGGTTCCCTGTCTCTCTTTCGATCTCGATCTTGCTCTCTTATGACATCTACAAGGGGTAGGGCTGGAGATACTGCAACACATCAACAAAAATTATTTGATCAGCTTTTTTTTTTGAATAACATTGATGTAAAGAAGTATTGAAATAATCTTTTTTCGAGTATTAAATACTTGAATATTTTTCTTATATCTTAGTAGTTGAGTTAAATCGCTAGAAGAAGACAAGGAAAACCTAATAAAAATATTCAAGAAGATTGATGTAATCTACCAGGAACAAACTGGCGTCAATGAATGTCTGATAAGAGCAAAAGACATTCGATCACGTTTAATTCTAGTTCTATTTCAGTAAAAAACATCAAGTACTGATTTATTTGTGTTACGTTGAAGAGATGAATTGATCTTTCGATCGATTATTTCTCAGTGATACGCATATATTCACGTCCTTGTTTATTCTCTACTATATAATGACATATTCATGTAAATGGTATTTTCCGGATGTTCTAGATTTCCCGATTAGTTCAAAGACTATTTTGTATAAATTTTCAATCAAGGATTTATACATTTTCTTCTCATATTTCTATTTTAGTCTTACTGTATTTTTAATCCAATCCAGGTCATGATTTTGGAATCAAGGCTGATTGATTTCTCATACTAGACTTTTAATACTCAACTCAAGTTTAAAAATGATTATCATAAATGTTGTAGATGTTAAAATTAATTACTTAAGACATAAAAAAATAAATTGACATTATTTTATAAAACATTTACAAGGAAGTTTGTTTCTTTTTTTTTTCTTTAAAAATAAAACCCCTGCTTTCCATAATCTTTTTCACAGTTTTGCAAGCATTAACAAGCTAAAGTTATTGAATTAATTTGTATTTCAAGCGTGACGTATGAGTCACGTTGTAACTTTCTTCTGGTAGTTGAGCAGAGACATATGAAGAGATAACGGATATTAAAAGTCATTTCAACAAATCTACAAAGACCTCACAAGACCCATAAACCGCTTAATTAACTAAATGAACACACACTAAACTTGATTGTTATTTTTTTCTCAGTATTAGTTTGTCTTGATCCTGTCTTCTCTTCTGAAAAGACTTCTTCCTCGTTAGTGGTATTAACTTTTCTTGGGATCCAGGACTCTCCCTGAACCACCAAGGCGAAGGTCCATGATCTTCGACATCTAATAGACTCAGAGTGATCATCAGGATCCAACTGACAGGTCTTGGTTAGGCTTATGACCCTTGTTCTTACTTGTTTGTATTCGCAGTACTGTGGCTATATGCATTTACCTGTAATAGCACGCGGTCTTTGCTGCATATACAATATTTCTCGTTGGTTGCTTCTCCATTTTGCCAACCACCAAGTCACTGCATAACCGATATAAAACGAGAGAGGTAATTGATAATGTTAAAGTCCGAGGTTAATCCATCGATTTATGACCAAAGTGTGTAGCTAGTATTTTTCGAATTGAGCCAAATTGAGGGATAATCGACAGACGCTAATACCTTGCTGTCGAGGTGAATGTGCGATGAGATAGGTGGTCATCGAGGTTAAAGTGTAGCTTCAGTAATACATTTAGTCTCTGTGCGTGGGTAGTGTAACGTGTTTGATTTAATGCACTGAAACCCATCAATTGGCTAGATAGATTTCAATTGGAAAACAGATCTAATTGTACGTATAGTAAGACACTGAATAACTATGCATGTAAGACTATGGAGTAGCAGTTTATCAAGGAACTTTCTCAGACTACTCTCAAGTGTCGCAAATCTTTTTACCTAATGATTATCTCTTTGTCAAGCGTACAATTAGAATACTATTATACTAATGGGTAATCCTCCTTCTTTTTACCTTTCGTGGTGATAATTTTGAGTGTTAATTGCACAGACGAGTGAAAGTGACACGTGCGCCGTGTCACGATTTTGTTACAAATTCTTCAACTCGAGTTACATGCATTGCAACATAATTAATATATTTCCGAGTCAGCTCATTTTTTTTGGCCTACTTTTCGTCACTTTTAAACTTGCCTCTTTTAGGCTCGGTTACTTTTTAAGGAAAATGATGAGGAAATTATTGTAATATACACGGAAAAAAATAAATTAAATGCAACAGGACATTGCCATTTTGTCATAATAGGACAGTGTCTTGTGCCTCCACAGAACAGTCTTGCTGCAGTTTCAGGATTATACTAGAATGGGAACAAGACTTGTCTTGGTGCACGTCTAGAATTTTTTATTTATTTCAAGTAGAATTATATGTTATAGTAATTTATGATTTATTGACAGCCCCTATACAACAATTTCGGGGGACTATGGGGAACGTTTGGGGAACAAAATTTTTTTTTTTTTTTTTAATTTTACCTATCTACGCCAAATGTACTTGAGACGTTTAAAACTTGCAAAAACAAATATGGACAGAATGAAATAATGATATATTAGTGTAATTTGGTTTTCTGCCGATAACTCAGGATCTATAAGGCCTATATAGAAAATGGGGATATCAATGAATTTGTGAGAACGAGATCTTTTTATTGCAATAGTTAAAATTATAAATGGTGCAAAATTTTTGCTAATATTAAAGCAAGTTCCCGTTTTACCCCATTTTAGGGGTGAAATAATTAACTTTTGAAGTGTTTGACCGGATTCCGCATTTCTACGTATTAAGACAAAGAGAATGAGTGGTCAAACTTGAAAATCGGACAACTTTGATTTTTCGACCCGAAAAAATGGCAAGTGGTACCCCTTTCCATTTTTTTTGGCCAAAAAATAAAAGTACTCCGATTTTCAAGTTTGACCACTCATTCTCTTCGTCTTGATGCGTAGAAATGCGAAATCGAGACACCGCCCAGAAAAATTCACTTTAACACCCTTAAACAGGGGTAAAACTGAATACAAATTACGAATCATCATCCCCATGACTTTAAACCCTCATAACTCATGAACGAACTGTCTAATAACTGTTTTTAGGGACGTTTTGAAAACCTAAGAATCTAAGCTAAACATCTATATCCATAAAAAACGTTGAAAAAATTCCTTTTACCCTTAAAATCGCTAAAATATAAAAAAAAAATCACTTTTTTTTTGGAGTTTGCCAACTGTTTTGGCCATTTTGAGGGTGAAATAAATATTTAAAACAATTTTTATGGATATGAATCTGTAGCTTAGATTCTGAAGTTTCCAAACAGCTCTCGACAATTATCGTCTGATGATTTCTTCGCGAGTTATGACGATCTAAAGTCGAAGAGTAGACGATTTTTTGACCCTCACTCGACTTTGGACCTTTATAACTCTTATACAAGTCACCCAATAACGATTGTAAGGGGGTCTTTGGAAACTTCAGAATCTAAGCTACAGATTCATATCCATAAAAATTGTTTTAAATATTTATTTCACCCTCAAAATGGCCAAAACAGTTGGCAAACTCCAAAAAAAAAGTGATTTTTTTTTATATTTTAGCGATTTTAAGGGTAAAAGGAATTTTTTCAACGTTTTTTATGGATATAGATGTTTAGCTTAGATTCTTAGGTTTTCAAAACGTCCCTAAAAACAGTTATTAGACAGTTCGTTCATGAGTTATGAGGGTTTAAAGTCATGGGGATGATGATTCGTAATTTGTATTCAGTTTTACCCCTGTTTAAGGGTGTTAAAGTGAATTTTTCTGGGCGGTGTCTCGATTTCGCATTTCTACGCATCAAGACGAAGAGAATGAGTGGTCAAACTTGAAAATCGGAGTACTTTTATTTTTTGGCCAAAAAAAATGGAAAGGGGTACCACTTGCCATTTTTTCGGGTCGAAAAATCAAAGTTGTCCGATTTTCAAGTTTGACCACTCATTCTCTTTGTCTTAATACGTAGAAATGCGGAATCCGGTCAAACACTTCAAAAGTTAATTATTTCACCCCTAAAATGGGGTAAAACGGGAACTTGCTTTAATATTAGCAAAAATTTTGCACCATTTATAATTTTAACTATTGCAATAAAAAGATCTCGTTCTCACAAATTCATTGATATCCCCATTTTCTATATAGGCCTTATAGATCCTGAGTTATCGGCAGAAAACCAAATTACACTAATATATCATTATTTCATTCTGTCCATATTTGTTTTTGCAAGTTTTAAACGTCTCAAGTACATTTGGCGTAGATAGGTAAAATTAAAAAAAAAAAAAAAAAAAAAAAAATTTTGTTCCCCAAACGTTCCCCATAGTCCCCCCAGGGGAACGTCGAGGAACTTCTCTACTGCGGAACATTCAGGGAACCTTTGGGGAACGAATTTTTTGTATACAGCATGTGATAATGAAATAAAAAAATCAAGCAATAAGCTCAATTAAATAAATTAATAAATATTTTTATGTGTTCCACGTTACTTCTCCTTTCTTTACATAATCCTAAAATAAAAAAAAAAAAAGGTACTACAAAAAATAGCAAACAAATGTGCGTACATTTCTATAATCGTATCGATAATATATTTATTGATTGTTGTAAAATCAGTAGCACCTTCGAGAATTCTCAAATGCTTCAGCAATTGAGAAAATGCAGTTTAATTTTTCCGATCAATCATTATTTACAGTCATCGATGGTGGATAAGATAAAAGGTAAACCGATACCGCAACAATATGTAACCCGCATCTCGTGTGCGCTACAAAGGCGTGAGAACATCGATACTAATGGCCAACGGTCAGCTCGTCGTGTTTCAGGATTGCCGATAGCATCTTCGCTAAGTGCGATATAATGTCATAACTTTAGAAAAGGATCCCTTGTGGGGGAAGATGTTTCTCTTTCTACTTATTTTTCTCTTTCTCTCAACTCAGAAGTACTTCACCAGAAGAATAAACACGTGCCCTCATGTATTTTTCACTAGCTAGAGAATTCTGTAATGCAGTTACCAGGAAGGAGCTGTACTTCTGTAAATCTTTAGACAAGAATACCAACTGGTGAGTCAGACAAACCCGGAAATAACTCTGCAATCTGTTGGAAGCAACAAACCTTGTGAAAAAAGGTTACTGAATAATTAAATATTGGAATAAAAAATTCCATACTCCAGGTTATATTAAGTAGAGTCATATCTCTAATCAT